AGAGAGAGAGAGAGAGAGAGAGAGAGAGAGAGAGAGAGAGAGAGAGAGAGACAGAAAGCTCAAGAATAACGTGTTATCTACACATGCTCTTAATGCTATATTTAGCGGACGACATACGTATCTACACTATAATATGCAATAAATTTTTTATCTAGCAAGCAACACGTTCCATATAACTCGTTTAGTCGAGAAGTGACCGTTGAAACGAACAGTTCTAAGTTCTATAAAAGTAAAAGTAAAGAGTTTTGTTAATTTTTATTTATTAATATAATTTTAATGTAATATTTAAAATAATATTTAATATAATATTTTAATTAATATAATGTATTAATATAATATTTTAATTAATATAATGTATTAATATAATTTTAAAGCAGTTTTATTTTTCTATTATGATTATATATAATTATTTATAATATAGAGAGGACAAATAATCGCAATATTTGATTTTTAAAACAGAAAATATTTATTTTTGAGGAAGACATATATACAAATGTATAAATAGATCCCAGATAGCAAGTTGATGTCTAAAAACGTTTTAATTATGTATTATTAACGTTAAAGATATCATTAAGACATTATGAATGTATTATTTGTTGTCATTTGATGTCACACTGTTATCTGAGATAGACAAAGAGGAAGGAAAGATATTAAAATTAACTTAAATTACACATAAATTAAGTAAGTAAATAAAGAAATTAATAAACTATCGTGTCTCACAATCATAAAATATGACCGTAAAGAATCTTTAAATATATGTAATAATAGTAATAAAAATAATTAATGAAAATAGGTCGTTTTGTGCGAGTTATGCAATTTAACATTTTAAGTGCAATTTCAGATCGCACCGATATATAGAGTGATTTTGTGAAAAACAAACGGTATATAAACATGATTATGTTAGAAATGATCACGATTAAAGAAGCAGCGGAAGAAGCTGGTGGAAATCAGCAAATCTTTGAAGAAATGTTTAATAAATTCAGGCAATGGCTACAGCAGCAGCTTCATCTTCCGCAAGGTTTGTACGCCTGTATACGCGCACACATACCAACGTACGCACGCACACACATATACACACACGTACATGCACACGCGCGTAGGGGAGACCGGGGCAGGTTCGCAGTAGGGGTAGGTTCGCAAATCGTTTCGTTCACGTATTTATTGTGAAACAAACAGTTCGAGTGGAATCATAAAACATTTCGTTTAGTGTAAAGATACTTATCTCCAATTTTCATTACAATCGTGCAAATATTACAGGTAAAAGAAAGAAAAAACTGATTTGATGTCAGTTGAGTAAAGTTTTAGACTTCTCGAAATATTCTCCTTGCATTTTCTATCGTGAGTGAATGAACTGAAGTTATACAATATTAATTAAAATGAAGTTTGTTGAAGATATATGATACACTGTTTTGTATAATAACAGTGAACTTTATTCTTAAAATTATGAAAATCGCAGAAATGAGCAGATGGGGTAGGTTCGCTAATTTTTCTGTATGGTAGCACTGACGAACTGGTGCGCACTGGTGTAGCTACGCGCAAAGAATAGGTTAGTAAATACATAGCTCACAACGCATAGTGATCATAGGATCATACGACACCATGCAACGCGAACATATGATGATGTATACACATATAAAGTATGTTACATAAAATTATTTCCTTTTGTTTTTAAGTATAAATAAAATTGGAAGCACAAAGATATCGTATATGGTATCCCATTGTTATAATTTATTGATTTAACATTCTTCAAAGTGTATAATTACATGTATTTTATGTAATGCCGACTTATCCCGAGCTGCTAGCGTACCTGCCCCGGTACCGGGGCAGGTATGCCTGCTTACTACATGTTGATATTTTTATTTCAGACGAAACTATACAGTTTATAAAATCATCGATAGAATCAAAATGTAGAGGAAGTTGTCTCTATTATTATTATATAGTCAATTGGAACAATTAAATATATCAAACTGTTTTATCATTGAAATTCGAAAAAATTAGCGAACCCGGTCTCCTCTATATATTTTAAATTTCAATTAAGCTTCATTGATTAATTCTTACATACCGCATTTATCATAAAACGTTTATATAGGATGTCTAAAAAATAACGAGCATGAAAAAAAGCGGATAGGGGAGTCGAAAGAAAACTATATTAATATATAAATATATATATATATATATATATATATATATATATATATATATATAT